TCATTAACAGAGAATATATATAGAAAGGAATACACAGACTCTCTATACCTCTGTGGCTGCACTTAGCTTTCTGTCTGCACAAGGAAAAAGAACATCTGCATCTTCATCATCCCTTGTATTTTGCTTTCTGTCGCCACAAGGAAAGAGAACTTTCATACCCGCTTCACTAAATACACTCTTGATACCAGAAACTTTGTCTGGTTGAGACTCACTACGTCTGCTTTCACTGGAACCATCAAAGATAACCCGGTTGTCTGGAGATATTGGAGATGCAGTATACTTCAAAGAGTTATTTTCTCTTAATTTACCCATATGAGATCCACTGCGAAGGACTGGAACCTCAGACAATGCAGTTTCAATACATTCATGTTTTCTTTTATTTACAGTGACAAACTTGTTAAGTGACATCTGTACACTACTCGAATGCCTAAGTGGACTAATGCTATTAACAGCACCCTTCTGGAATGACCTTGACTGGAGAATGTCCTCTTTGTAAGTTTTGTCTGAAACTAAATCTGTATTTTCCTCATCAGGACTTTCAGAATATTTGTTCTTCAGATTACCACGAATTCCAAGTGAATACTCTTTTATCACTGAACAATCCCCATCTCTCTGTATCAACTCCTCACCAAAAGAATCTCCTGTGTTATCTTGCGCAATCCCCAGAATGCCATTATTATCTTTCTCATCCTTTTCATGTACTACACTTTTGTCCGGAATTAAGTGCTTCGCAAGCCTCTGAGATTTCTCCTGTGGAGAATAAATATCGGGTGTGCGCGTGTCCTCATTGAGTTCATCTATTTTGTTTACTGAATAACTAACCTGGTTAGATGAATAAATCTTCTCTAAAGCTTCTCTTAAAGAATGTAAAATCAAACTCTCATCAGAGAAAAATATCTTCCTTTTGTCAGGGGTAACATTCACATCATATGCTCGAGTTGGAACAGAAAAGTTCATAACGGCGATAGGATATTGTTTAGAATTTGCGCCTCTGTACAACTCGTTCACAAGCTTGCCAACTTTGGGCATATCCACTGGACGGCCGTTAACATAGAAGAATTGCCGATCCCCTATATTTCGCCCGCTTCCATTTCCGGACTTTGAAACAAAGCCTTCAACCACACAACCATCTGATAAGCTTAGATTTACAGACTCTAAGCAGGAAAAAGTACTCGTACCCAGCACTGAGACGATATTCTCCCTGAGGGATCCACTACCCTGAGTCTTCAACACTACAGACCGTGCATTTTTCCCCGTTGTGTTGGTGCAAACTATTCTAACTCCTTTAGCAATGAGAGCATATGCCTGTAAATGGCTAATGAATCAAAAGTGCCATTTGGGAAGATATACACTTCCATATCAAAGCCCACATAAGCACAAAGACAATGAAGCATAATAATTTCCTTGTCTAGCAATAACAAGCGGAAAGAGAATATATACTAAAAATAAAGGGTGTGTTTGTTTATTAATTATTTCAAATCATACTCAATCCATACCCAAAATCTAACTCAACTTTAACCCAACCCCACTATCCTCAATATTATCAATATAATTAAATAATATCAATCAACCATTCTTAATAATCACATCAACTTAATTCACTATTCATACACTCACATAATTTTAACTAACCATCACTTCACATCATCTATCTCCTATTTTTACATCAAATCAACTTTAATTATTTTATTTTTTATACTATTTTAATATAAACTCAAAATTACACTAACAACTAACCATATCATCTTTTTCAAAATCAACCATAGTTAACAAAAAAAACTCGTTTTGAGGGGACTACTTATATCCAAGCACGCCCAAAACTTCTCATCAACAGTATTCAACTCCTGAGACATAAAAGAGCCTAAGCATGCACCATCTGAAGAAACCCTCTAGCACCTAAATGAGAAATCACAATAAACAACGATCAACACTGAAAAAGCGTATCTGCTTACATTCAACAAGCTGATTAGTTTGCCATATTCCTTGCGGATATTTCGCTGGAACTCTTTGCTCCGGACAGGTAAAGTTGAGAACAGTTTCCTGACGGTAACTGTAGTACCAACTTGGCGTGCCGACTTCCTCTCAGCTGTCAGAATTCCTGTCCGATCATATGTCAGGTGTGTTGCAACCACCTCATTCACTGTTCGAGTTTCCACAGTCAATTCCCCTAAAGCACAAAGTGAGCTCAATGCTTCACCCCGGAATCCGAAAGTTGTCAGCACTTGAAGGTCTGGAAAATCCAAGAGCTTTGACGTGTGGTGTTTCAGGGCTAGAACCTGCCATAGAAATGAGTAAATTTTACTTCTAGGCCCATGAAAGAGACTGAGATTTCAAAGCACAAAAATATTTTATGAACACCATGTTTCAGCCTGATGTCTTCAGTACATTCAATCTCATATAGCAGTACTTTTGATCCATAAAATTGAACACACTGAGTTAAAGTAACAAGCAAATAAACTATACTCACTGCCCAATAGCAACACAAAACACAAAACCCAAATCAAATCCATCTTTAACGGATATCATTTATTAATTTCATGTTTTTTTCCCAAGTAAATCATGAACCCAATGGAACCACATACGAATACCAAGTAAGACATGGGCGGAGAAGAAACTCGGAAAAATACTTTGAAATTCTCGGGAGAAATTCCGGAGCCATTGTCGATAACTTGCAATGATTCCTGCCCGTAGTCCTTCAGGGCGATCTCGATGCTGGTGGCACCCGCGTCGAGGCTGTTCTCCACGAGCTCCTTCACCGCGGACGAGAGGTCGAGTATAACCTGCCCAGCACAGATCCGGTGGACGACACTCTTGTTTATCGGCCTTATAGCTGAAGGCCTCCCAGCTCCACCTTCCATGCCGGAGAATCACAGGGATTTTTTGAGAGCTTGTAGCTGCTTCTGCTTGTGGTTTTTGCTCCTCAAACTGCTTTTAGTTTTAGGGTTAGTGTAATGCTATCAGAGCAAGCAAGTGGAAGAAATTGTATACAAATTCTGCAGGATTCAGCTGGGGGATGTGGGAATAAACCCTAGACGGAGGGTGTAGAGTTCGAAACTTTTGGCGCCAAAACTGCGATTGCCGCCGGCGAATGATGTGATTCAGTGATTGATGGTGAATAGTGAATTGATCCGTCGCCTTTGTACCTTTACAGGGGGACAATATGAAGTCCAATGGTGCTATAGCAAATTAAACAAACTAACATAACAACAAGGTGTCGTGGTGTAGTTGGTTATCACGTCAGTCTAACACACTGAAGGTCTCCGGTTCGAGTCCGGGCGACGCCATTTTATTTCTATTTTTGTTATTTAATTATTGCCAAATTTTATTCTTCTTTTTATTAGTTTTTGACAGTTACGAACATTTTTGGGCAATGGCTCATACTTCCACTAGCTCTTGGAACAGATAAAGTCCAATTAGTTTAGAAAAATAACTACAAAAAACATGTAAGTATAAAACTTCAAATTGAAATTTAATATTTCGGTTAGGACTTGGGAATCAAAAATACTAACACCCTTTTTTTGCAACATATTTTTACCACCCAACATGTTTCAATAATTTAAGCATTTATACAGAAAATCATCCTATAGTAACATAAATGACATAAATTCTGAAATAATACACAGGTCTTATTTACACATTACATCACCTTTATAATATTACTCGCTCATCCGAGGAAAAAGAAAAGAACTTTGGGGTGGGTGCGGCTCGATAATTGCCATGGTTCTTCAGAGTATTACGTGTTGGCGTATTCACAGTCCTTTCTATCCCCTCTTTGAAGTTAAACCCATGTCCAACATTACACTCAGTGATGCGATTTATAAACATATTTATGGCAAAATGGCTAATATGACATACATCAAATGTTCAAGAAAAAGATTAAAGCGTTTTAACTGTTATCACTCCAAAATACTGTCATTGCTAACAAAAGCATGAGAAGGGCAAAAGGCGAAAGACCTGACTAGGTATAACCATGAAGCATCCATTGGTGCCTCTCTCTCACTTTACCAAATTAAGGATGGTTCAAATATAAATTGTTACTAAAACCGGTAAAAACACCAAATATCGAATAACAATGGATGCAAGTTTAATATACTACCTCATAAGAACACTTTCTCGTGCTTGAGTAATAAAAGGTATCGGCCCTTTCGTGGCCTAAAATCTAAATGCGTAATAGTAAATAAGTGTTGAATTAAATATCAATACGACCCACTTGCCGTCATGCCTTTCTTGTTGATGGATATAGTCCAGAGAAGGTCGGCATCAGATTGCACGGTCACTATTTCCCCTCTTACGATATTTGAAGTGCTGATTAGTCCTCCAAATCTCATTTCCGTATCAGCTGAAAAACACAGAACATACGGGATGACATAGCAAAGTATTTGGTAATAAAGCAAATTCCTCTTTGTATCAATCGTAAGGCAACGGAAAGTGAAACCATTCACAAATGCATAGATAGAGTAGTAATGATGCTGATGGGTTCAACTTGTTGTTTGACAATCTTTTGACCCCAAATTAGTAAGAACCGTCCACGAGATATGAATTGATTACGAAAAAATTGCACTCATTGCTCAAGAATCCAGATTACAATTGTGTCTTGTAAGAGATATAACAAGACCCTCTCATGATAGTTACAACTTATAAAATACCTCTCTTGAAATGCAACTTCAAGGCTATGTTTGGTAACCAAA